GGCATTTGAGTTTGAATAAATGCATTTGGAATATCCAAAGACATCATATCTCGTCCTTCATATGCATCAATTACACATGTGATCATAATCGCTTCCAATGCTGCAGTCGGACTTGAAGTATCCTCTCGAGATAGCCATTCTCGAGTTCCATCTCCTTTGTATACACATCTTCCTTTTATTTCACCAGTGTTTTTCTCAGCTAATAACATCATAGCATCTTGTGCTCTTCTTTTTTCCAAATCAGTCATGTCTTCAACATGAACTGGTTCCCAACATTCTCTTTGTATCAATTGGTCAAGTTCTTTCATCACAGCCTTATTACCTTCTTCTTTGAATAATTTCAGTCCCTTATTTAGGTAGTATTGTTGGATAAACGATACTCCTTCATTGCCTTATCTTTTCCATATTCGGCTTTCTTGTCACTTCCAACCTGTTGGAATAGTAGATTGTATTTAGATTCTTCTTTTGGAACCCTTTTCCTTGAATTTTCCTTCATTGAAATTATTTCATCCAAATAACCTTTCAATTTCTTGACTTTTTCCTTTTTTCTCATTGCACTCCTGTTCTTTAACGAATTGCATTTCGGTTTCTTTCGATTTAGGTATTGTTGATTATACCTTGATCGATCTCAATTGTTACGTTTGGTTGGTCTCATTTTTATTCCATCTTGAACATAAGATTTACCACTCCTGGTTTTCCTTGGACTGAATATGTCCTCTTTATTCACTTCATCATTTCCATAATTATCGTCGTCACTTGATTTGTCCGAATGAACGTCAGATTCATCATTTTCATTCTCATTATCATCCAAATTCGCCACAAATTCGCGAACATCATTGAATTGATTTTCACATTCTTTGATTTCATCTTAAATTCGATCAATTAAGTCGTCATTTTCCTCATATGTTTCGCGTGTTTCCTCGATTTGTTCTTCATCGTTAAGTGATTCGACATCTTCTTTGTCTTTTTGAATGTCTTCTTCAATTTCTTGAATCTTTTCATTTAAATCCTCATCATTCTGATATTTGTCATTTGGATTGGGATCTTGATCAGAATTATCATCATCATTTCTCCGTCTCAATCGTTCATAAATACTTGCAACACTCCTGTCTTCTATCTGTTCTTCAACATTTTCGGTGTGTTCATCATCATAGTTTTCAATAAATTCTTCCGCTTCTTCAAGTAAAGCGTCAATTTCATCTTGATCAATCTTTTCATTACGAAGATTCTCATCGCTTTGTTTGTATTCATTTGCGTGGAATATATGTAGCATCCCACAGTTCATCTGGGTCCACTCCTGCGAGCAAATCACCATCCAATATGATTTCACCCTTCTTCCAATGATAAGTACGCAAATCACGAACGCCCTCGTCGTGTGCCATTTGTTCCACAATTTTGATCACTTGCTTGGTGATCGGAAGTACCATTACATAGGGTCTCGTTACTGTCTTTTTTGTGTTAAGATTAAGTAACATATGTCCTGCTTGTATGCTGTCATTTACTCCAAGATAAATACCATCAATCGTTCTTGATCGTTGACTGTTGTTGGTCGTCTACCGGTTTTCGTCTCACAATCATGTGTGGACTGTAATATTTCGAAATTCCCTCCTTTGCAGGATAAAAGTCAATAACCTTTGTCACATGCTTGAGTAAAGCAATAGTCAGAACCTTGGGAATTGCCTTGAACACCATTCGATGATAGTGTGCTCGGAATAATCCTTTCAATGTTTGATTGCTGCGCTCAATAGTTGGT